GTTAAGATGCATTAAAAAAGCTGCTGTATTTAATACCAACACAGAGATAAATGGAGCAAAATAGCTAGAGACAGAATCTGGTATTGTCTGTCTGTTTTGTGTGTATAACACACGTTATATGTGTATTTACAGTATTAGTAAATCTTTTATTAATAATATTGATATATTAAAGGATTTATTTAGTAATAATAATAATAGCATATTTAAAAGTCACCATAAATAAAGCAATAGGGGAAAAGGATTATTCAGTAAACGGTGCTGGAACAATTAGTTAACTGTTTGGTAAAACAAAATTAGATTCTCAGCTCATTCTTTTCACCTGTATAAATACCTGATGTGTTAAAAAATACAGATAAGAAATATAGTGGGTTTCTAAATGGTGAGAGACTTTATAAACATATAAAAGAATAAATCCCAGAGGATAAGAAAAAGAATTTGAACAACCTAAAATTAAATTTATGTATGTCAGAAGCATTGTCAATAAAATTAATGAAGCCAAACTGTAAAATTTTTCCAACAAAAATAGTAATATAGTATCTGCTTAAAGAGTAATATAGTATCCATTTAAAGATCTCATACTAATCACAAAGACAAAAGGCTAAAAATCCCAGTAGAAAAATGGGCAAAGAAAGTGAGCAGACAGCTCACAAAAGAAAAGATAGAAATAACCCAGAAACATGAAAAGAATTCAACCCCTCTAGCAAGCAAAGATGGAGCCCTGGTTGCGCAGTGGTTAAGAGCTACAGCTGCTAACCAAAAGCTCGACAGTTGAAATCCACCAGCCGCTACCCTATGGGACAGTTCTACTCTGTCCTATAGAGTCGCTATGAGTTGGAATCAGCTCGATGGCAGTGGGTTTGGTTTTTGGATTTTAGCAAGCAATTAATGTAAATTAATAATTGGGCATCAGTTTTACCAATGAAATTTGAAGAGATTAAAATGTTGGTGAGGGAATGGTGAAATAGGCCTTCCCATCTAGGAAACATGGAAATACAAAATATCCAACATTTGAAGAATGACTAAAAAGTTAGGATTTACTCATGTGAAGTAATATTATGCAGTCATTAAAATAATACTTCATAAATAGTTAATAACGTGGTGGTGAAAGCCTATAATAATATATTCAGTGAAAAAGCAAAATATAAAATTTAAATGCAGACAATTATTTGTTTGTTTATTCATTCTTTGTTAGATCAGATTCAGGCTTGTTTTGGTTAGTTCTCTCTTAACTTTAAGTAAAGGTAAGGTGCTCTTCTCTTCAGAAATAGTTTCAAGGCTCAAATTAACCATCTTCTTACATCCATATACTCAGTGGAAAAGGATTTATGCAGTATCGCCCGCTGGACAGGCAGTCCATCTACTCCTCAGATATCCCAGCATTCCACTGTGCAAGCCAGACTGTCAGGGGACTGTCTTCCCAGTGGGCATCACATGGGCCCCTCACAGAACTGCTTTTACCAACCATGTCTTGGGATGCTAGTGTTATGTGTGACCAGAAGTTTTAGAAAAAGGTAGGCCCGTGAAACTCATTCCTATGGTTACTATGAGCATGTGGATCTTAGTATCAGTACATGTCCTTCTCTTGAAGAGGTGCTTGTTTTTCATCCCAAGGAGATAGATATGTTGAATATACCAGGTTTCCTTCTTTATACTGACTAGAGTGCCTAACTCTGAATTTGTTGTTAGCTGCCCCCTGACTCATGGTGACCCTTTGTACAATGGAAGAAAACGCTGCCCGGTCCTGCACCATCCACATGATCGGTTGTGATCAGACCGTTGTGATCCATAGGGTTTTCACTGGCTGATTTGTTGGCAGTAGATTGCCAGACCTTTTCTTTCTAGTCTCTCTTAGTCTGGAAGCTCCGCTATAACCTTTTCAGCATCATAGCAACACTCAAGCCTCCACCTGCAGACGGGTGGTGGCTGCGCACGAGGTACATTGGCCAGGAACTGAACCCTAGGTTCTCAGCATCGTATGCGAGAGTTCTACCACTGAACCAACACTGCACCCATATAAATTTAAAGTTAGCCTGTGTATAGGACTAAATGTTTATCTACTCATACATACACAGAAAATACACACATGCTAGCCTCATTCCTGGTTTCATTTTATATCCCATCATTGTCTTCCGTTTATCTCATCTTCTTCTACTCTTATTTCTGTTTTATAAAATCTCCTTTTATTTTATATGTCTTTATAAGTGACCTTAAAACTTTTTGGGGAAGAAGATGGGACTACACATAAATAAATTAAAAAAAAAAAATATATATATATATACATATATATATATGTATATATACACATACATATATATATGTGTATATATATACATATATAAAAGAGAGAAAACACCAAAATTTGAGTTATCTGATTTTTTTGGATAATGGAATTACATGTGTTATTAATTTTCCTTAAGATTTTTTATTTTTTAAAAAATTTTCTACTCCAAGCAGGATTATATTATTAGAAAAAAATTTTATTTTTTGGAAAGCAATTTCCATTCAGACCTCATGCCATCCTGTAAAAACAATGCATTTCTGTTTGATAGGCAGTTGTAACTGAGGATCGCACAGGACAGTATTAAGCAGAAGGAGTCTTCAGGCATTGCAACAGCTCTTTGGGTTTGAACAGGAGAAGTTAGTTGAGTTTTCAGAAGAGCACCTCCTTTGGCGATTGACCTGATCTTCTAGGGTGGAGTATGAGAGCCAGAAGGGAACGTTTAGACAGTAAACTAGTTAAGCTGATGCATAGATTATTGCAAATGGTGGTGAGATACTGGGAGGAGGACATTTACCCCAGATGAAAAGGCTGAGGAGGAGATGGCTGAAGTGAAGAGCAAGGGGGAATGGGTTTGCAGAGGGAGCTGCTTGAGCAAAGACCTGGAGGTTGCAAGGAGTTTGGCAGGTCTGAAGTGGATCAGAACTTGCAGATGCTGCCAGATCGCAGCCAAGCAAGCTTGCCTTTGTGTATCTCAAAAATATAGATACCTAGGCTGAATTTTCTTTAGATAAAACTTTTTAAATAAGTATTAGCCTATGTAATTAAATGAATACATACATATCTGTTATCTGTAATATATATAATGTGAAAAAAGGACAGGGTGGCCTGATGGTGATGAGCCAAGGAGTAGTGAGGATATTTGGAGAGATCAGGCAGGACCAACTAAAGGAGTTTGAATTTTACTCTAAAGACAATAAACTGCTAATGAAAATTTAATCAGAGAAGTGATGTGATCTGATTAAAGGTTTAAGAACGTCTTTCTGGCTGATTATGAAGACTGGTTTGGAGTAGGACAGGAGGTAAAACCAAGAGAATGACTAGGGAGATTTTGTACAAACTGATGGCTATAAAGTGATTTTTTGTTTTCTTTTTTGTTGTTGTTGGGGCTGGGGGGACACAATTTAAGGAAAAAGATTGGAATTATTTTTTCAGGGTTTCTGTGTTAGCATATTGGATGGAATAGGCTTGCATTAGACATATACGTCTTCATTGTGTTTGTTAAATAATATTGTATATATTACAGATACCAGATATGTCTGTACCCATTTAATTACATATACTAATGCTTATAAAAAAGTAAATTTTTTCAAAATAAAGTTCAGCCTAGATAACCATAGTTTTGAGATATACAAAGCCAGGCTCAGTTGATTGCAACATTGCAGCATCAGCAAGTTTTGATCCATTTCAGAAATCTGAGCTCACTAGCATTGCCTGGGCTGGCATTTTCTTAGCTCAGAACTGCTTACTGGGTGTAGAAAATCTAATACTTCATTTAGGAAGACTGCTTCAGTGCTTTAGGTGTCAAGAGTTCTGGGTTTTATCTTCTTTGTTAAAAAGTTTGAGTTGACCTTGGACAAGTCATTTCCGTCTGTATTTTAGTGTCTCTGTACAGAAGATAGGTAATAATCATCTTGGGTAAACTGCCTGTCATCATGGTAACTGGGCTAGAGCTCTCTAAGACCTGGGAGAGACAATAGCATATACAAAGGCCCTGTGGCAGGAAGGAGCAGGTTGATATTGTAAAAATGAAAGGCAGCTTGTGTGACTGGAGATCAGAGTGCAAAGGGGAGATGGTACTGGGTGACATTGTAGACGTTGGCCAGGGCCAGTCTGGGCAGGATTTGTAGACCTTGTTGAGGACTTTAATCTTTATCCAAAGAGCAGTGGGAAGCCATTGGAGGATTTAAAAAGGGGAGTGACGTAAGGCTGATAGATATGCCGTCTCATTTCATCCTCATAGCACATGTATGTGGGAGGTAATGTTATCCCCATTTTAAAACAGCACCAAAATTTTAGGCTAGTAGAGATTAAGTAACTTACTCTCAAGGGTACCTTGCTGGTAAGTGGTGGAGCCAGAAAAAAACTCAGGTCTGCATGAGTCCAAAGCCTTTATTCTGTCCTCCATATCAGCCTACCTCAATAATAAAATAACAATAACCACAGCTTTAAATCGCTTTGAACTTGTAAGATGAAAGATCTCCCTTAAATTACAAAGTAGTGTTATGCTACTGAAATATGAGTGGTGATGAGAGAGTGGATATGCCAGGGAATTTTAAAAGGCCCGGTCCATGTGGCTCTGGTCCAGCACCTTAACATTCCTTGCTGTCTGGTGGGGGGCGTCTCACGCATAGCTATCAACATGAAGAAAGATTTGACTGCTTTGGCCGGCCATTTGACACTGCCATTGTCCATAAGGACTCATTGTCCGTGGAATGTTCCTAAGGTTTGTGCTTTCAGGGATTTTGAACTGGGAAACCAGATCTGGGCTGTTTGTGCGTGGTTTCACTGGAGAAATCATCCAATGCCAAGTTCCTTCTTTCTGCTTTCTCTCTCTTGGGAAGTCAAGTGGCTTAAGTGGATTCTTAGAGACTGACTTGTAGAGATCACCATTTCGATTTTGAACCAAAGAAGCCTTATTGAGAGTTGGAATGGAAAAACATCTGCTGGCCCGTGGTCCTGAAGTTCTTGTTGATAATGGCAAGTGTTTGTTTCTTTCTAGTTGACCATGTTGTTCCTGAACCTGGGACAAGCCTGCTGGCTGCCTTTGACCAGTGGAGGGAATGGGCTGACAGCAAGTCCTGCTGTGACTACTCTCTGCATGTGGACATTACCGAGTGGCATAAGGGCATCCAAGAGGAGATGGAAGCCCTGGTGAAGGACCATGGTAGGTTGTGCTAACCCAACACCTCTGGGAATATTTCCATTTCAGTCCATAACCTGGCACGGCTCTGTGAGGATAACATAGAATAATGTTTATAGATCCCATTTGTGCCTCACCCCCATGCTTGCCCCTAGCGAGGAGAGAGGTTAAGGACCACAGCTGATGCTGACTGGAGGTGGCCTAACCCAGTGGAGTAATACAAGCTTTCACTGATAGGAGAACATGAGCCTTATTACCTGGATCTGTTCTTATATAACAGCTGTTTGCAGCCTGTTGGTTTGAGGTAATTATGTTCTCTCGTCAGGTTAGGGAGTTGAAGCTGTAATAATGATTTGCCCGCAAAGGGTAACAAATGCATACCCCAGTGGGGATTCTGGGCCGTTTTAGGAGAGTACATAGGAGCCTGGAGTGGAGGGCTTGGACACCTTCTTTCTGTAGACCTGGAAGGCCCCAGGACAGATTTGAGGGTGGTGAGACTCTTTAAACCTGAGATAACCTGAGAGCTCTTTTCAGTTCCATAGAACTTTTTTGGGGGAGCAAATTTCCAGGGATTGGATTTGGGAAGATTAACAAGGAGGCTAAAGGAATCTTTTTTTTTCCGAAATAATTTATTTGTTGTTGTTGAGAATATACACAGGAGAAGATACACCAATTTAACAGTTTCTGCATGTACAATTCACTCACACTGATTACATTCTTCAAGCTGTGCAACCATTCTCATCCTCCTTTTCTGAATTGTTCCTCCCTCTTTAACACAGATTCACTGCCCCCTAAACTTCCTGTCCAATCTTTTGAGTTGCTATTGTCAATTTCATCCCATATAGGTAGTTCTTAAAAGAGCACAATGCTAACTTTAGTAAAGCTAAACTATTGTTTGGTTTTAAGAAGACTTCAGGGGACATTTTTGGTTTAAGGTATAAAGATTATCTCAGGGGAGGCTAGAAGAATCTTGACTCCTTCAGGGTGCCTCTGGGACCCTTTTGTCAGTAGGAACCTTAGGAGTTTAGGTGGTGAAGCCAAACCACATTGTCTTCCTAGGTTTCCTTGACCTTGGCCACAGAGTAGAGGCCTGGGTCTTGTACTGGTTTCATTGGATCTAAGGCTTCAGGGAAGCGGCTATCGCTTTAGGGTTCTGAGACTTGTAGGCTCAGAAGCATCATGGGCTATGAGATAATGTCAGGAGGGAAATCCCTAGGCACCTCTGTAGTGTAATATGATGGAAAAGCCCCAGAATGAGAAGCTACAGTCTTGGGTTTAATTCTCTGCTCTTCCACAGACTAACTCTGTGACCTTGGGCAAATCACTTAAATTTTATGGGTCTCAATTTTTTATCTCTAACATGAGAGTATTAGACTAGATGTCATCTAAGATTCTTCCCAGCGTGCAGGTTCCACGTAAAAGAAAATAGGTAACCTTTGACTTTTCTCACTTTTGAAAATACCCAGACTCAAACGGATTTAACTTGCCATACTTATAATGAATCTACTCTAAATGCAGGCAGGGGGTTACCATAGTAACTGTTGCCTGGAGAGAAGAGAAAGTCCAGGATGTCATGAGGCATTTAACTCAGGCAGCTTCCAACACTTCCCAGGTGGCTTGAATTAAGCTCCAAGGCTAGGAGACTGTCAGTACAATTGTTTAAAATAGTGATGGATGTTGGGCAGGGATGTTTGGCCTTGTGCGTTGGGATGCAAGAACTCTAAAATGCCAAGATGACGATTGCAACATCTGCTTGTTGCACTAATGGACCTTTTCTTATATAAAGAAAGTTTCTTAAAAATCAGGGTGAAGGGTAATTTGTTTACCAAAGAAAAGACATTTATTACAGACCTTCATCAACCAAAACTTCTAACTCATTTTTTTTGAAATCACAACAGACTATTTTTTTGGCAGCTTTTAAATTTGATACAGTTTTAAACTTACAGAAAAATTGCAAGAATAGTACAAAGAACTGTCATGTACCCTATTCCTACATTCACCAGTTATTTATATTTTATCCCATTCGCTTTGTCATTCTCAGTCTCTCACTATGTAATAAATATACATATATATATTTATTTGTATTTTGATATGTATACACACACACACACACACACACATGCATGTTATTTTAATTTTCTTATCTCCTTCCATATTGTTTGGCTTTGGTTTATATATCGAAAGTCATCTCTCAACCTGCCTATTTTGTGTGTCCACCAGGGGTAAATTCCTTCCTTGTGTACATGGCTTTCAAGGATCGCTTCCAACTAACGGATTCCCAGGTGAGAAAAGCCAGCTTTTCTGAACAAGCCCACTGGCATCTGGTACATTCAGGCCACCGCTATTGGTCTGGGAAAGCAGCCTCCAGTGTATGACCACCCCTTAGTTTCAGAGGAAATGGCTGTTGGATGAAGTCACTGATGTAATTTGCTCTTATGGAGGGTATGAATCTAGTGCCGTCTGACCCCTCAGTACCATGCTCTACCAGCTTCTGGAATCTGAGCCTTGTAACGGCCTCAAAATGTGCCATTGTGGCCAAGAGGTGTATTCAGAACATGCTCAGCAAACCTGATGCACAGCCAGGAGTGTCGTCAGTAAGCTTCTCGCTCCTAATCCACATCTTCTTTAGGTTTTGCTGCCTCTGTTAATTACTAAGAGGTCCCTGCTGCTCTGCCAGATGTGGCAGGAAACATCGCCCTTGGGGTGTGTCAAAAAAGCTAGTCTTAATAGAAACTGTTGATGGGTATCATTTGTGATCCCAGAAATGTTGCTGATGGGAAGATTGTACTTGTGAACAGGAAGCTGTAATCACTGTCTCTGACTCCCATCCTCCTCTCAGATATATGAAGTACTGAGCGTGATCCGGGATATCGGTGCGATTGCCCAAGTCCATGCAGAAAATGGCGACATCATTGCAGAGGTATTTTGCCTTCCTCTTGATCGTTTCTTCATCACCTATAGGGCAAGAGACAGGCTCAAGAGTGTGAAGTGACTTCTGTAGCGTAACACCTGGGGGAGTGCCAAGGTTAGTTGATGTTGCATCCCTGGGGCTCTGTGCTGACAGCCTTCCTGGCAGTGTGAACGCTGGTGACAGGTGTGCCTCTCAGTGTGTAAGCAGAGCATACAAGCTGGTGTCTTTCCGCAGAGAAGCCGTTTCTCTCAGTGCTGTTGTGCAGCTGTCTCTGGGCAGAGTACATGCACTTTCTAGTAACACACGGACATTTCAGTCTGTAGCAGAGGGCTGAGACTGCATTGGCTCTCAGCTTCCCTGGGAATCAGCCAGATGCTTCTGGGAGGCTGTAATTCATCTGTCCCAGCTCAGTCTGGGAACAGGGTAGTGAACCCTTCTCATCATGGAGTCTTGGGATGAGGGCCAGGTGTCAGCAGTACCATTTTTACATCTTGCCCCTGTAAGTTTTTACCCACATCTCTGACAATCGGTGTCTGAAGCCCAGCTTTCCCTCACAGCCTTGCTTTCTTTAAACATTTCAGGAACAGCAGAGGATCCTGGATCTGGGCATTACAGGCCCTGAGGGACACGTGCTGAGCCGGCCTGAGGAGGTAAACATCTGCTGAACGGGATGCGTGACTCGGTATCCACTGGGCACTGCCCAGCCCTGAGAACCCTCTTCCCGTCTGTCCAGGGTGGGTCTTCTTAGGTGCTGATGTGGTCCTTCTGAGAAGCCACAGATTACTCGTGTGTGTGTCTACATAGGCAAATGAAGCATTAGACTGAGTCTGTAGAGTAAAGCAGTCTGGATCATTTAGCGTCTTTCTGGCTCTAATTCTCTGCTTCCTTTTGCTTGGTTAGACACAAATAGGTTTGTGTTAGCAGCCTGCAGTCTAGGTTAGTGGTTTGTAACCTGGAGTCTCCAAACCAAACCCACTGCCATTGAGTCAGTTCTGACTCATAACGACCTTATAGGACAGGGTAGAACTGCCCCATAGGGTTTCCAAGGCTGTAAATCTTCATGGAAGCAGACTGCCACATCTTTCTCACGCAGAGCAGCTAGTGGGTTCGAAATACCGTCCTTTTGGTTAACAGCCGAGCGCTTAACCACTGCACCATCCAAAATCTTTACCAGTTACCAAAACATAGTCACAGGGATATAAAAGCTCTTCTAAGTATCTAGAAAGCATAATGGAAATCGTAAGTTTTTTCATAATAAATCTGCACAGGATTTTACATAACCCACATAGTTTGGTATAATCAAAATCGTGGAGGGAAAATTAATAGCAAGGGGTCTTTTTGGTTGAGAACCAGCCCTGAATGGGGAGACATGTAAGTTAGAAGGGAAGGTGGTGCTGTCATCTTACGTGATTGACAGTCTGTTTTTCTGAATTAGAGTTCGTGGCCTTTAAGTATTTTTCAGAAGTTGTTCCTAATGAAAGACTGCAGGCAAGGCTTAAGAGGACCTGACAAAAGAATAATATGGGGGCTCTGAGCTAAGATCATAGAAGTCTTACGGCTCTTCCCCTGGTCACAGGCCACACAATACTGAATAGAAACGAACAACCTTTTTCCTGAAGAGAAAGATGTAGCAGAAAAGGACAGGTGCAGAGAAGGGCAGAGAAAATCAATGAACAAAAAAGGGTTTTAAAAATACATATAGGCTCCAAAATGAGGATTTTTCCTTCTGGAAATAAGCTGAGAGAGATGATCGACAAGATGAGTATGGATGGGACATGGGCACCAAATCACAGAACTTTAGAACTAGCACCTCTCCTGTGAATCTGGGGAGTGTTCACATGAGGACCAATGATTGGAAGAAGACCTTGCTCCCCCTGCTAAGAAAATGGATTTGAAGGGGATTTAAAGGTGCCATCACCAGCTGTCTGGGGTAGGGTGGGGTGGTGCACATCCCTGGCCTTTCTCCCCAGACTGTGAGGGAACGGATGAGGCTGGAAAAGGAGAAAGAATCTAAGGAAAGAGGCAGTAAAAAGAGGAGGCAGAAACTATTCTGGCATGTTTTGCATAAAGTGAGAGTTTACACTTCCTTAGTCTGCCCTTACTGCCCTGACACACGCACACCTTCAGGACCATCCGAGTCCCTGAAAGTGTCTTCTCCCCAGCTGAAGAACAGAAGCTATTAAATTTTCAGTATTGCATGGTCCATTTCCAGGCACAGGGTAGAGAGAAGTACTTTCATAATGATCCACCCCTCCGATGCATGCTAAAGGACTAAAAGGACTGAGCTGGAGCCAGCACAGTGTTGTGGAGACTGAAAGTGACTTATTTAGGCCCCTGCTCTAGCTGAGGGGAACCCCATGCTGTGCCTTTGCTGGTGGGTGGTGATTCAGGGAGGTAGCTTGTAGGAAAGGAGACAGTCTCACTAGCCGTCACTGAAAGATGCCTGAGGCTGGTTTTATACACATGCGCACACACACACATACATACACGTATACAAACCTGCGCAGGCATGCGCTTTCACACATGCAGTCACCCTCTTAATCCCAAAAGGTGCCCCACCCCATTTCCAAAGACACCCTGAGGGTACCTTTCTGTGACTTTGTTTCCCCTTCAAGGCTGGCCTAGGTGACTGTTTTAACCAGCCTTCCCAAGGTAAACGTAGGTAGGAGGATTGGTATATAACATTGCTCTCAGCCCCACCTCCTTGGAGTTGGTCCTGGGTTCAGTTTGAAATCATTTTGGGATTAGGCCTTTAATTGCAAGGAGTCCTAGAAAGACAGAGGGATGAAATGGTTCTTGCGGTACTTCATTTTTTTCCTTGTAAACCCCATTCATAGCTAACGTTTATTGAGCTTACTATTTCACGTTTAAGCTTTACAACAGTCCTGTGAGACAGATACAAAGCCTCCTTTGCACAACTCCAGGGAGCACCATTCACATAGACTACAAGACAGTGTCTAGGGAATGCCACTTAACATTCTTTTCCATGTGCGTGGTGCTGCTTAGAGTTGTGCTGTGGTGGGACCCTTTGTCCTTTCCATCTTTCTCCCATGAGGAAACTGAGGTGACAGGAAGTTAAGTGACTACCCAGTATTACAGAGCAAGTAAGTGCAATGTCTTGTCCTTCCCTTCCCACCTGTCCCCCAGTATATACACATACACACATATGTATGCACGCACACATGTGTGCGCACACATGAGATTCCAAGCTCAGCTTAAAGCCAGCTGGGTCCTTATCACCAGGAGGTAATACCTGGGGCTGGACTTAATTAGAACGTTTACTCCTGGCCTTCATTCAGGTTGTTGGCTGGAAGGTCAATCCTATCCTGTTCAATTGCAGCAGAGAGCAAAAATAGATGTTGCCCTCTGAGAAAAGCCGATTACCACTTATCCCAGCTCCATGAGGCTACTTCCAAGACCCACACTTTTATTTAATCTTTAGAGCCTTCCTTGGGGCTTACTTCCCTCTTGTCTACTCTGCATCCCCAAATTGCTATAAACACAGAAACAGAAAGAAGCTCACCCTGGGCTTACTAAGAAGGAAAAAGCTCTCAGAGGAGAATTGTTCTGGTTGCTATTTTGACCAGAAAAATTAAAACCATTTTTACATGGTGTGAGGCACAGGAGACTTTTTTCTAGCAATTGTAGTACTGAAAATTTCGGAGTCTCCCTGCAGCTAATTACAAAGGCTTCTTTGGGGGCAGTTAGTTTGAGGAATTCACCAATATGGGAAGCTCTTAACTCCATGGGAGGGGCCTCTTGCCTCATAAGAAGCTGCTTTTTATTGCTTGTTCTTTTTATAAAGAGTCGTCTGCTTTTCATTTGGTTTAGAGGCAATGCACAGTACACACCTTCTGTATGCCAGGCATTGCACTTGGTGCTTCTGAGTAAGTGCATCTTTATGACAGCCCTGTGAGGTGAGAAGGTGGCTTTAGGGGCTTGTAATCAGCGATGGAGTCCCTGAGTGGTGCAAATAGTTAACACACTTGGCTACTAACTGAAAGTTTGGAGATTTGAGTCCACCCAGAGGAACCTTGGAAGAAAGGCCTGGCAGTCTGCTTCAGAAAGATCAGCCATTGAAGACCCTGTGGATCACATGAGGTCACCATGAGTTGGAGTCAACTTGATGGCAACTGGTGGTGTTTAGACAGCACAGTCAGATTAGAACGGAAGCTTCAGGCTCCAGCCAGTGCCTTCTCCCTTGGCTACCAGTTACTGTTTTTCAGTTCATGCCACGGGATCTGTATTAAAGCCAGTGTAGGCGATGAAGAAAATAAGGTATGGAAGCATTCAGAGGGAACTTGAATATTATAATCTAGTTAGGGAAATACTTCCAATACACATGAATAGTAGTTAATAAATACAGCAATTTAACTCCTTTACTGTTCCAAGATTTATACATTACCTGAAGGAGCCCTGGTGACTCAAACGGTTAAGTGATTGGTTGCTAACCAAAAGGCTGGCGGTTCAAACCCACCCCGCTGCTCTGTGGGAGAAAGAGCTGGCGATATGCTTTTGTAAAGATTACAGCCAAGAAAACCCTACAGGGCAATTTTACTTTGTCACATGGCATCATTGTGAGTAAAAGATGGACTCAGCATCATCATGATGGCTAGCTTGTGCGTTGCACTTGAACTTTACAAAAAACTTCCCTGCCACAATATGCTTTTTTTCCCAACCCACCGTTGTGAGACTTCCTGATATGATTTTCTCTAGTTTTCAGCAGAGAGGATTAAAAGGGGGGATAGGAGAAAATGCAAAAATCTGGAAACCATCTCTCTGCAAATAGTGACTGAGCACATACTATGATTGAGACAGTGCTAGGCCCTGTGGGGGACAGCAAAATGAATTAGAAAGTGATCCTTTCTGAAAGGAATCTGGAATCTGACTGGGGAGAAAGAGGAGATGGAGAGTCAGTATGTAGGATGGCATGGGATAGGAGCTATGAGAGAGCGCAGCTGTAAGACTGGTAATCTGGGAAGGGACAGTGCCTGTGGATGAGGGTAATAAGAAGTCTTTACAGAGTAGGCGTCTTTCTACCTGGGTCTTGAAGACTGGTGTAACTTGGATACTCAGAGAAAGGAGGAGGGAAGTGAGCTTGCAAGGTAGCGCAGAGTACTGACACTGTTGTGTGTCCCTGGACAAGTCACTCCCCCTCTCTGCATATCTGTTTGCACGTTATACTTGCAGAGCTGTGCTCCATAGGGTTTTCAGTGACTGATTTTTCATAAGTAGATCGCCAGACCTGTTTTCTGAAGCACCTCTGGGTGGACTCGAACCTCTACCCTTTCGGTTAGCAGCTGAGCGTGTTAACCGTTTTCACCACCCAGGAATCCATGGGTTGCCTCATCTTTAAAATCAGAAGGAGGGGCTAGATGACCTCCAGAATCCTTGTTAACTCTACCATGAGCTGAAAAGATTTTGTCTTCAAACTATGGTAATGTTTACGTTCTAGTTTAAAGGGATATTATTTAAATCACAGTTCAGTGTGTGTAAAACTGTTGATCTTTTGTATGAGAGGCATATAGATGGGAACACAGAAGGGTAAAATGTATGTCCTCTCAGGGTCTAGGTGGAACGTGGAAAACTGTGGTTAAGTGATCCGCTCTTCCAATGAGATAGTATTTTAGTCCATCCTTTGTTCCAGCTCGAGGCCCCTTGCAGGGCTGGCAGAGGGGCCAGAACTCTTGCTAACCTCACAGCAGATGAGCGAATCCAGACAGGTCCCCGCTGACACCTGGATTCTTTCCACCAGGGCCAGTCTTAATGGCAGCCAATCTTCCAGTAAAAGGACACCTAATGGGACTGAGACTTTGCTTGATTTACCTTCTGATTAGTATGCTTACACATCCAGTTCCCTCAGGACAGTCCTGGTTTATGCCTTTTGCTCTTATGCAGTTATTAATAGTGCCCTTTTCACTTTCAGAAAGTGTTCGGGTTGGGACAATAAATTATATAGTCACCCTACACAACTGGGATGAGGATTCTAAAATCAGTTGCTATCAAGTCGATCCCAGTTCATGGCGACCCCATGTTTGTCATAGTAGAACTGTGCTCCATAGGGTTTTCAATGGCTGACCTTTCAGAAGTAGATCACTTCTTCTGAAGCACCTCTAAGTGGACTTGAACCTCCAGCCTTTCAGTTAGCAGCCAAACACGTTAACTGTTTACACCACCCAACAAGTCCATAAATATTCTAGTAGAGTCCTTTTCCCACCTGAGGTGAGGTGGCTGCAGAGATGCTGGAAGTTCCTCTTCTGTGCTGACCAGGCCAGAGGCACTGCTGCTGTAACTGGAGCCAGCAGGAGAGGGCAGGCTTATCCAGTTATTCAAGGAATTAAAAACATTTGGATGTTTAATGACCTTTTTCAAGAGCCATTTGGTTAGCCTTTGGAATTCTTGACATCTGTCTTCATACAGTTGATGCCTCAAAGGCTAAATGTGAATGAAGTTGTCTTAGTTTTATTAAATTAGATTATCAGTTAATGCAATTATAGAACTTAAGCTCTTGGCCAAGCTCCTGTAAAGTCATGGCTAGCTAAGTTAATTCAGTTAGTACCTCAGTCATTTCTTGGGAAAAATAACAACTCTTTATGGAACTGTCTACCCTTAAATAACATTAACATAGAATGAAGTCATTTATTTGTTCAATAGTAACTATTTTGGAGCACCTGCTATGTGCCAGGTGCTGTGTTGGGAATTGGGGGGAGGGGCAATGGGGGAACATGGAACATACAAAACCCAATAAGATCTAGCTCTTAAAGAGTTCCGGCCATGACATTTTGTGAAGATTTGGGGTGTGAAGCAAATGACTTTTTTTTCCCACTGTAATTTTTTATTTAAAATTATTTTATTTGTTGTCATTGAAGATGTACACAGCAGAACATAACACCAGTTCAACAATTTCTACATGTACAGTTTGGTAACACTGATTACATTCTTCAAGTTGTGCAGCCATTCTCACCCTGCTTTTCCACATTGTTCCTCCCCCATTAACATGAACTCACTGCCCCCTAAGCTTCCTATCTAACCTTTCGAGTTGCTGTTGTCAAGAAACAGATGACTTTTTGAGACAGCAGTTCCATAGCATAACCTGCACGTTCAGTTGGCTATTAAAAATACACATTGCAATTCATCTGAAAGATCCTTCCAGATTAGGTATGGAACAGTAATCAATTGGAATCTTTGGGGAAAAAAAAATCATTCATTGAAGCATCAAGTTTAAAGAACCAGATTGTTAGAGCAGCTTCCCCCTCTCATGGCAAAGGTTGTACCAGTTTGTGACAGGCCAGCTGGCCAACTCTCATGTTTTGCATACAGAGGGCCTTTGGTTTACACAAATGCTGTGTGCTCCTTCCGAGAGCCCTGTGAGGTCGCATTGTTCTGTGGGTATCTGACCAAAGCCCAGCACACAAACAACATCACTGAATCTCTTGACCCAAGATCATGTAAGTGGAATGAATACAGTGAGTTGAGAGCAATATTTCCATGCACAGTGGTTCTCAAGCGTAAATATCAGCTAAAATCAAACCCTTTGCTGTCAAGTCTGTTCAGATTCATGGTGACTCCCTGTGTGTCAGAGAACTGTGCTCCATAGGGTTTTCAATGACTGATTTTTTGGAAGTAGATCACCAGCTCTTTTCTTTCAAGGCACCTCTTGGTGGACTTAAACTGCCATTCTTTCGGTTACCTGCTGAGCATGTTAACTGTTTGCACCATCCAGGGACTAGCTTTGTTAAAACCTAGAGTTAAAATCTAGAGTCATTAAAACCCAGGTTGCAGAGTCCCACCCCTGGAGTTACTGATTCTGTAGATCTGGCATAGGACCAAGAATCTGCATTTCTAACGAACTCCAGGCTGATGCTGAAGTTGTAGGTCTGCTGACCATACCTTGAGAACCACTGTTTTAAGGTACCTGTTTACCCATGAAAGGGCCAGGAAGGCATTTCCTCCATCATTTCAACTAACCAATATTGGGTAACACTGGGCAATCCACACACTCCCACCCCCTAGTGCCACTCAAGGTAGAAACTTGAGGCCACAGCAGTGCATCATAATCTCATTGATTTTCGCCACTTGGTGCGTGGAGGATAAAGAAAGGGGCTCGTGTGGTGGACTGCGTTCTCACGTTCAGATACTCTTTTATAGGTCGAGGCCGAGGCTGTGAATCGTTCGATCACCATTGCCAACCAAACCAACTGCCCTCTGTACATCACTAAGGTGATGAGCAAGAGTGCAGCTGAAGTTATCGCCCAGGCCCGGAAAAAGGGTGAGTGCTGCTGACTGTCCGAGTGTGGGCAGGTTTGGAGAGTGAGGGAAGGGGGTGCTCCTCATCGAGGTGGTTCCTTTTCCAAACCCTCATGCCAAGTGGGCCACTTTCATCATGTTCCAGCATTAACCTAATTACAGTGAAGTGAGGCAGAGAGCTCCAGTTTCCTCCCTTTGTTCCACTGCTGCGGCCTTGTTAGTATCTATTTAAAGCCGCATGCAGCCGAGAGTGGGTGGGAAGGCGCATTTCCCTCCTGCTCCCCTTCTGTAGAAAAGTTGGATTTAATTTGATGCAGTCTAAATAAACTAGGCACATACACAGATTACGTCAGTTTCCATCTGCCACAGAATCCTTCTGGGGAACGTTACATTGCAAAATGCTTTCCCTTCCATGGCTGGTAGTGATTTCTGCTGGGATAAGTAAGGGAGCCTCAGGTAGGGGGGTTTTGCCCTAGACCCCATCAGGTCCAGTTACTCGAGTACTTCCTGTAAATAAACTATACATGGATGCATTCTGTGCTGAGAATGGGTTCTCTGTTATCACGAAGAAGTCCATTGAGAAAGTTATTGGAAACTAATTTACTAATTACAGCTTCTAGCACTTCTTCCAGAGGATGTCCCATGGAGCACCTTATACATTATGCATGCAACAGAGCCTATTGTAACCTGCTGTTTGTTTCTTGACTTAGGATAATCACACAACATATCTTCCACTTAAGAAATGTGTCGCCACATGCATAAAGCCTGATAAAGTAGAAATGGCTTTGACAGTGGATCTTAGGCTGACCTGAACATGAACATTACAGAAGGGTCCTCCCTCCTTCCTTCTGTTCTTTCTTCCCATTATGTTCCCCCTCCCCTTGACTTTCTGTGTCTCTCCACTTCTGTGTCTCCCTTGCTGTTTATTTCTTGCTCTGTTTCTGTCTCCATCTCTGTTTCTATCCCTTTTTCTTGATTTCTGTTTAGATTTCTCCTGGTTTCTTTCTTTCTTGGTCTCTATCTCTCTGACCCTGACTTTGTTGGCTTCTGTATCTGTCTGTCTGTCTATCTAATCTGTCTATCCCATTTTCTATCTCTTTGTCTATGTCTTTCTTTCTCTGTCAGTAACAGAGCAGTTTGACTTCTATGACTCAGTGTCTAGTTCTCTGCCAGATCTGAGCCACATGGATAAGATGGGTGAGTTGGAGCAAGACCTATAACAAATTGCTCAATGATCAGTGAGTCAGGTTGTCCCAAGAGATGATGGCTTCCAGACAGACCCAGCAGTTCCTGGCCTCTGTTCTTCGGAGCTCTGCTGGGGCCTCTCTCCTTAGTCTTGGTGTCACCTGGTTGTTGCATTACCATCTTGGAGACCTGCCCTCTCCTGGCAGCTGGAAGGAATTGCCTTTTTGAAATTAAAAAACATGCACCTGAAATAACGTAATCTACTCAGAACAGCTTTGCATTGTTTTTCTGGGAAACGTGGACAGCTACTGAGTTGTTGACCCTCCCTCACCTAGGCACACATTTGCACTGTGACTGGTCATGTGTGGGAACACCCCTAGCACTGACCCAATTGCAGCAGTGCTGCTTTCATGTTGCTCTGGGACAGTTGGCACAGAGTCTGAAAAAGGGGAAATAGGTGGCAGCTTATTTTATTTATTTTACCAACCACACTGTACCTAGACAGCAAGCATCTTAACATAAGTTGAGATTGTCTCTGTGTTTTCCAGATCTTACCCAACATTCATCCACTCTTACCTGGATGGAGGAGCCCATCCTCCGTCAGACCAAAACACAACTCAGGTAGAATAGCTCTGGACTGAGTTTGGGAGGCCTAGCCCAGCCAGCAGTGCTGAAGCGCCTTCCCCTTTCTGCACCTTTGTTTTTTCATTTGAGGGTGAGGAGCTGGGCTGTGCTGTTATAGAGGCCAGCTTGTTCTGTTCTCCCACTCTGTCTTAGTGCCTGACATCCCTCTGTTGTTATAACTTTGACCCTGTGTGTGTATGGGGTGGGGACAGGCTCTTGGAAGGGATTACTTGAGCCTGCTCATACCAGCACCTTTGAATGAGTCCAGTTGTGCCCACCCCGTGGTCTTAAGGTGGCTCTTATATTCAAACCTTCACACTTTAGTCCTTGAAAGCTTTAACTTTAGATGAACCTGAGTTGCCAGAAAGGAGTTTCTGGTGCATTTGGGTGCTAACTAGCAATGAGAAATCCTGGCTTCTATTGTAGGCTCTTAAGGCTCTTTCATACCTTGTTTGAACTCTATAACAACTTTGTGAGAGAGTCAGGACAGGAATTTTTGTATTTGATTTTACTTTGTAGCTGAGGAGACTGAAGTTCAGAGGTAGTACATAGTGGAATTGGGACTTGATCCTCAGGTGTCAAACTCCCAGACCACATGCCATGAATATCCATGTTAATATCTGACTGACTTATTCAGGCTTTGAGATCATTTTAATATGAGAAATGCTGGTGACCACCTCCTTCTCTGCATCTTGTAGGGTTTAGTTCCTCAACAAACCTGGTAGAAACTGGAGCCTGGTACCCAGCATAGTCATGGGTAATATGGAAACACGATTGTCAAACAACCAAGTAGGAAAATAATGTAAGGTGTGGTTAAGAGTTTGCTCCCTGGTATCAAATTGCCTGGACCAAATCCCAGCTCTACTATGTACTAGGCATGTGATGCTGGGCAGCCTACTTCTTATCTCTAGGTCTCATTTTCCCATCTGCAAGGTGAGGATAATAATAGTGACTCATCTCACAAGATTGTGACGTTTAAATGAACGTAAAGGATGAAGTAGAAAGAAGTAACTACAATAACTATTACCTATTATTATTATTATGAGGTCCCTGAGTGGCATAAATGGTTAAGTGCTTGACTACTAATCGAAAGGTTGGAGGTTCAAGTCCACCCAGAGATGCGTCAGAAGAAAGGTCTGATGATCTACTTCTGAAAGATCACAGCCATTGAAAACGTTATGGAGCATAGTTCTACTCTGACACATGTGGGGTTGCCATGAGTCAGAATTGACTTGATGGGAATTAGTTTGGTTTTTTTGGGTATTAAGATTAAAGAATGAAGGGCTAGTTTAACCTTCTGCTGGTTAGAAAATCAGCAAAGATGCCTGCTCGCCTAGGGCAAAGATTTTCTGGTAAGGATTGTTTTTTTTACTCCAAGTGGTTTCTTCTGGCCCCTATAGGAAAGTCTGAGGTACTGCCAACTCTCTGCTGCTTAGTTTCTTCATCTGTGAAGTGGAGAGTTTCTTCACTGATTCAGCCAACTTTTGCTGATCACCTCAGGCCTGTGTGCCAGGAATAAAAAATGGTCCCAGCCCTCAGTTCCTGCGCTAGTGGGGAAGGGGACATATAAGCAGAAACTCACAATGGTAAATGCTATAAAAGAGGCATAAGCAAAGGATGGTTAGAGCACAGAGGAGGGAGCCATGATCACAGACACCCACCCTGCCTGTCTTAAGGGGGGTCAGCTTGCATTACAGGGCTCAAAATTTCTCTACAAACGTGAACTGTTAAAAATCACAATCCTTTCCATGGCAGGAACAGCAGTAATATCTACTTCTTGTAGTGATTCCCATATGCCTCCCCTCCCAGAGACCTGCTGGCCCCACAGCCTAGGACAGGAAGTGTTTCGGCAAGTGAGGATATGAGATAAAAGTGAGGATGTGAGATAAAATGCAAATGAGGACTATTTTCACATGCCTACTCAACCCAGTTGCACAAAGATTACAGTCTTGGGAACCCTATGGGGCAGTTGTACTCCATCCTGTAGAGTCACTGTCAGTCGGAATTGACTCAGTGGCACACAACAACACTTGATGCAACACAACTGCATGGTCCTTCCCCAAGTGACAGTGAGTGTGGCACATGCTGTTGCCATCATTCTGTGCCATTTGGCAGGAGAGCATATCATCAGCCCTGTTTTGCAGATAAGGAAGTGACATAGCCAGGATCAGAATATCTTGGGCAGTTTTTGCTTCTGAAACAAATTTACACATTGGTAGATTTAATATAGGCTCATTTCATGAAAGAGAAACTGAAATCAGAAATCGAATGTCTTGCTTTGAATCCTTCAACTCATGGGAAATAGAAACCATAATTCCAGATTTCTGGTCAACTCTCTTTCCAACTGAAAGTTCAGCACCACCCAGGGACTTCTCTAGAATGGGTTCCCCAGGACTAACATGGGTGTTAATGCCTCGCATGTGTGAATGGCAGCATGTAGGCAGTGCCTGATGACCTCATCTGGCCGGTGCCCTTCTCCATCCTCCTTCTCACTCTTACCCTGTAACTCAGCTGCAGAAACGTTCAGAACCATTGTGGCTGCGGAGGGACATTAAGCCCCCGGAAACCCAAACTGAAGACAAGACCCTGTGGGTTAGTAGGAATGACTCAAGCATAATGAGAAGTGTGTGGTCATGTGGTCTGTCAGGACCAGCCCAGTGTAGGGGTGAATCCTTAGTGTTAAGCTACTCCACAACATAGAGCAGCCTTATACCCAGACACATGAGAAAGGCACGAGGATGGGGCTGTGAATGTCCTGAAGTCTCACTTTTCTGTGAGAGGATTCTCTACGGATGAGTCTCAGCGTTGGGTTCTGGCATGGGTTCTCTGAGAGAAGAGGGAAAGTGGTGTCTGTGTGTGTGTGTGTGTGTGTGTGTGTGTGTGTGGCCATCCATGTGTCTAGGTTGGTTTTCACTGTGCTTTTGTGGCTATATTTTGAGATCCATGTAAATGATTTTCAGTTATTCCTACTTTGGATTCGTCCTCCTGCTTCTTGTTTGTGGGAAATGACTTTACAAGTAGCTGTCAGAGACAGGAGCTGTCAAACCTTTCTAAGCCCCAGCCTTCCATTTTATTCTTCATGAATGCACTCAGGCCCCAGGCCTGTTGTGAATAAGCACTGCCCCCTAAGTCCCTGCATTTCCCAGCCTTACTAGCGAGCCTGCCAGAGGCCTGGGGTCACATCTTTCAGTTTAGATGTAAGAAGAAAATCCCGAAGGTCTAACGGCAACCAAGAAAGTGTCAGCAGTGTTTAGAAAAGTGCAGAAAGGCCAATGAAGCCTATTCTATGGTTTATTATTATTAGTGATAATTATTTCTGGCATGAAGTTAAATGGTATCTGTGGCCTGACTGATCTCTGGAAGCGCATCCATAGCTCCCTCTTGTTCATTGTTAATAAAACGCAAAAGGAACCCTGGGGGAAGGCTCCAGGTCAATGATGATGGGAAGCAGAGTCCCCCGAGTGTGGACCCTGTCTCCCCCTAGAGGTGGAGTCCTGGTGAAAAAAAAAATTCCAACTCGTGGCGACTCCGTGTGTTTCAGAATAGAACTGTGCGCCGTCGGGTTTTCAATAGCTGTAACCTTTCTTAAGTAGATCACCAGGTGTTTCTCTCCAGGTGCCTCTGGGTGGACTCAAATCTCCAACCTTTTGGTTAGCAGCTGAGCTGGACTGTTTACACCACCCAGCGACTACAGAGGTCTGATACATGGCAGTTTAACTCTTGCTTTGCCTTTTGAGGCTGAAGAAAAGAAATAAAACCAAAAGACAAGGTTAGCCCAGGCAAGGACCTCTGACTCCCTCAGGGAGTCTGAACAGAGGAAAACAGAAATGAGCAGCAATATGCTCTCTCATCCTCGTTGCCTCCTCCTCTTCCCTTTCCCTCCCGGTGTTAGCTTGGCTCAGGTCTAGGAGGTAGGTTCTGGTCAGCAAGTCTTGAAAGCTCTGACCCATTTCTGGGTTTTCCAGAGGCTTAAGGTCAAGTTCATTCTCCTGTGGTGAGGTGAGCACGGGATCCAGCCCTTCCTTATATACCAGCTCCTCTCACCCTAGTCTGAGTTGGATTTTGCAGAGACAGATGAGTTTCCAAAACCCACAGTAAACAGCATTCACGCTTGGTCTGTTCAGGACACGTACCTAAAAACCAGCTCCTCCTCATCCTCCAGTTTCCAAGGGCAGGATTGCAGAGCAGATTCAGTGGGGGGCTGGGGGAGAGGAAGAGGACGAGCAATAACAAGTTACAGGAAAATATTAAAATGTTTATATGTTGATGCCTTTGTCCAAGGATTTCCAAAGATAGTCAAGCCATTCTTTTTCTCCATCCAGCTCTGCTGTCTTGAGCTTTTCCATTTCAATAAGACCAGGAAGTCCTGAGGGTTGCAGAGTCTTTGTTTTCCTAATGACTTTTGTGAGGTTTTCACAATCTTCACTTTTGTGCTCAGACTGACAATAGCCGTGGGGCTTCCAGACCTGGCTGGGTCTGAAGAGCTACGCTTAACCACTTCCCTTTGAAGTTGGAACCCAAAACTGGGAGCAAACTCAAAACTGGGAGCCAGAGGTCCTGTGACAACGATGGGCTAGAGCTGGGTTCCGCGTAGCCATTTGCATTTCATCAACGTCCTTGTGCAGCAGCCAAGGCCGGCTCATTATGCGATGTTTTTTCACTTTGGGATGAGCTGGCGCGGTTTGTGCAGTCACCCAGCTGGCTCCTCTGACCACGTTCTGGCTGGGAGGCTTTGAGTAGGTCAGAACCCAGGGGACCTTTCCAGGCAATTCTGACCATTGCCCCTTTTCTTCCTTGGGGCTTCCTTCAGGGCAAGGCTTCGCCTGGGTTCCGAAGCTGCCCTCCTGCTTGGGGATTGTCACTGATTTCCTGAAGTGAGCTGCCTGCCCTCACCTCCAACTCTCCCTGGCTGAACAGCGACTCCTTTGTGAAATTCCTGAGGCTGGAGGGGGCAGCTCCAAGGAGCCAGCTCTCAGAGTGGCAGACTGCAGCAAAGAGGGTGTTGTGATATATTTATCAAGTGATAAGGCCCTCGAAAAGGCTGTGGAGAGGAAGAGCAGTGCATTCCTGAGTGAGAAGTGTTTGTCCTTGAGAGCTGTCTGGGAGCCCTGTGTTTGGAGAAGAGGGACCTTTTGGCTAGACTGTTGGGGGTGGGGAAATTTGGCTCTGATGGGAGGAGTGAGGCGAATTCCTGGTGGTGGTAAGCTGACCTCAGTTCAAATTCCAGCTCTGGTACCTCTAATTAATGTATTATTAGACCATATAATCAATTTATCATATATTTATTGAGTGCCTACTATGTGCAGGCAAATTCATTATCTACAGGGAGTTCCCATGAAGTGGAGAATCAAAAAATTCAACACTGATTATTGGTGTGAAGGATGGGATTTCCAGACAGATGGAATAATACCTGAATTGAGTTTTGAACAATATTAAAGAGGGAATCAGCTTTGATATGAGGCCTGATAATGAAGGTGGCAGGTACTTCACGGAGGAGTTGGTTTTTATCCTTGAAGGCAGAAGGGCTCTGATGCAGGATTTTATGCAAGAGAATGGCATGGAAGGTTTGGGTTCTAGGAAGATCACTCTGGAGGTGTCATGGGGAGAATGAATGGAGAGATGGGGAAGAGGATGGGAATGAAAAAATAGATCTAAAAGTCTAATTGGTAGGCTCTGTTGAAATGAGGTGGAGAGAAATGGTGAGGGCCTGATTTAAAGCAGGGTATATGGAGTAGAAAGGAAAGGATACATTTAAGGTATTGGGGTTCACTGGATATAAGTGATTCCCAACTTTCTGGCTTGAGCACCTGAATGTATTGAGAAGAGGATGGGATTTGGGCATCGGGGAGTTGACAAGTTCATTTTAGACGTTGTATTAATTAAGTGATTCAGTGGTAGAATTCTCCCCTTCAGCGATTCAGTTCCTGGCCAGTGCACCTCATACACAGCCATACCACCCATCTGTCAGTGGAATCTTGCGTGTTGTTACGATGCTGAACAGGTTTCAGTGGAGCTTCCAGACTAAGATTAGGAAGAGAGGCCTGATGATCTACTTCTGAAAATCAGCCAGTGAAAGCCTTATGGATCACAACAGTCCAATCCACAGCCCAATCATGGGGATGGCACAGGAACTGGGCAGCATTTTATTCCATTTTGTATAGGGTCGCCATGAGTTGGGGGCTGACTGAATGGCAGCTAACAATAGCAAGAAGCTTCCTGAAATTCAGAAATTTCCATAGCCTGACAAAGTTTATTTCTCACTCTTGTAAAGTTGGCTGTGAATCTGGTGGCTCTTAAGGACAGCTTCCTTCCAGGGGTGACTCAGGGGTTCAGGCTATCTCTTAGATAGATCTGGGGAGTTGTGTAGCAACTTCTTATCTGTGAGGAAGGCTAACCTGTGAGGGCTAATGTCTTTTTTGAAAGGATGGTGAGAGCACTTGGCTCAGTGCCTGGCAGATAGTAACTTCTCAATAAGAATGGTTTCCTTCCTTCCTCATTGTGTCATACTGATGCCTGGCGTGTTCTCTTTGTCAGGAACGGTGGTGTATGGTGAGCCCATCACTGCCAGCTTGGGAACTGATGGCTCCCACTACTGGAGCAAGAACTGGGCTAAGGCTGCTGCCTTTGTCACTTCCCCACCCCTGAGCCCCGATCCAACCACTCCAGACTTTCTGAACTCCTTGCTGTCCTGGTGAGTACTGGTGATGGGTTCACACTTCACATTCTGTCCTTCCTCAGACCGAGCTGACCTGGTAACTTAAAATATGGTAGCTGAAAGCAGGCTCATAAACAGATAGACCCTTGTTCACCAAACTAGATTCATTAAATATTAAGAACTGGGAATTATTACTCTGACGACATTACGGGAGGGAATTACATATAAAAACCTGGACCATCTTGAAAGTCAGCCAAAGGACATTAATGCAGTTTCTAAAGGATTCCATTATGGTACGCTGTTCTGCATAAAATACCTCTCTGCATAGATTTAGATACACAGCATTACGAGGAAGATCAGTATCATATTTTCCCAAATTTCCTTTCTCCTGAAGGGAGGACAGGCTATTTAAAAAAAAAAAATTAGTGCCCAAACACGTTGAAATGGTATGTTCATGGTTGACTTGAAGTCAAAGATGAGTTAAAACCAGGAGTATGTTTTCCTTACAGCGGAGATCTCCAGGTCACTGGCAGTGCCCATTGTACTTTCAACACTGCCCAGAAAGCTGTAGGAAAGGATAACTTCACCTTGATTCCGGAGGGCACCAATGGCACCGAGGAGCGGATGTCCGTCATCTGGGATAAGGCTGTGGTAAGGAGTAATGGCCTCACTCATGGGATGGCCTCAGCTTTCCCCTTCCTCCTCATCTGAAGGCCACGGGCTTCATGTGCATTTTGAAATTGCATTTGAGGAAATTCTAGAAGCTGGTATTTGTCTGACAATGTTTCTTAGGTTTGGAAGTCTAAAACCACCCCTTACATGTATTTCCTCCTACTTATTACATATATATTTTCTATCATTATCATCAGTGGAACAGTAGAGACTGAGAAGAACATGGAGTCTTTGAAATATGACTCTCTGGATTGTCAGGAAAATACTTCCTTAACAATGTGAAGAGTAATCCTCTTCTACTCTTGGAAATTGACTCAGTTTCCTTAAAACTGTCTCGTAGGGCTCTCTAAGCTTAGCATTTCCAGCATATACTGACTTTTAAGGGATCTTTGGGCTTTTTCATTTTCAGTATTTTAAAACATAATAACACAACTGGCTTTTTGTTTCTTAATGAATATTTTGGATTATGTAAACAATATAGCCTCATTGCAAAAACAATAAGGAGATGCATAAAAATTACAAGAATGCCATGTTTCAGCTAGAACTACAATGAACATTTTGGTGAATGTCTTTCCGTTTTTTAACAGTGCATGACGGCAGGTGTTTGTGTATGATGTGTATGTGTGTGTGAGTGGGTGTGTAAATCACATTGATATCATACTTACAATTTTATAAGTCTGATTTTTTTTTTAAACTTAGTATGTCATGAAAAATTCTCCACATCCTTGAACATACTGAAAAGCTTGGTTTTTAATAGCGCACAATTCTATTGTAATTGTGAACACTAATTCATTTTGAATTCACTGGCTGATCATTATATTTCTTTTCTTTCTTTCTTTTTTTAACTGAGATGAACATCCTTGTAGAAACATCTCTGGAACACATTCTTAGTTATATCCTTAGGAGAAATTTTTAGAAGTGGCATTGCTGGGTCACAGGGTGTGTATATTTTTAAGGCTTTTGATATATCTTGCCAAAATCCCTTCCAGGGAGATTGCTCCAGTTTATATCCCACCAGCAGTGTATGACATTCTCCTGTTTCTTCAACCAGGTCCACACTGATATCATTGAAAAAGAAACTTCCCCAATTTGATAGGTGAATTTTGTGTCTCATTGTTTTTCATTTAATTTCTCCAGTTACTAATTAGTGTGAATATTTTCGTTATGCTTATTAGCCGTTTTTTTTCCTGCTCATTTCCTTTTCCATTTTTCCACTGGATTTAGAGTCAGTTTTCTAACTCTGAGATATGTAGTCATTTCCTCGAAAGCTGCTTTTAAAGGGACAGTGGAGCACAAGTGGTAAAGATGAGAAATTACAGGAAAGGCAAGGACTTGAGAAAAGATATAAGGCATGCCGCTTAAAGCAGAAGTAAAGGTGAGATTTCTGGGTCTGCTAGACTAAAAGACTAGGTGTGCACCTATAGTTTGTTGAAAAGAGCAGCCAATCACACCAAATGATTTTTCCTGGAGTGGCACTGCAGCCCGTTCAAGTAATTTTCTTTTACTTTTTATTATGAAATAATTATAGATCTAGAAGTTGCACACATAATGTGCAAAGGTAGAGTGGTCCTGCATACCCATCACCCAGCTTCCCCCATGGTTACATCTTATATAATTAGAGTATGATATCAAAATCGGGAAGTTGACAGTACATGTGTGGATAGTTGTGTTGTTTTGTCACATGTAGATTCAAGTAACCACCACTGCAGTCAGGATACCAAAATCCTCCATCCTCACAAATTTCTCCCTCATGCTGTCTATCTTATAGCCATACCCACTCCCCATCCCTCTACCGTCCCTAATCCTTATCTACCACAGATCTGTTCTCCAGCTCTATAATTTTGTCCTTTTGGGAATATTATATAGATGTAACCATCCAGTGTATAACCTTTTGAGATTGACTTTTTCACTGAGCATAATGCCCTCGAGTTGTGTGTATCTGTAGTTTGTTCCTTTTTATTGCTAAATAGAATTCTACCTTTCAACTTTTTAACATACTTTTGGGGTGTGTGTGTATTGTACTCATCAGGTCACTGGGAAGATGGATGAGAATCAGTTTGTGGCTGTGACCAGCACCAATGCAGCCAAAATCTTCAACCTTTACCCTCGGAAAGGCCGCATCGCTGTGGGATCTGATGCTGACCTGGTCATCTGGGATCCAGACAGCATTAAGACCATCTCTGCCAAGACGCACAACAGCGTAAGGCCTGCTAGCCACGCTGACTCAAAGGGAGGGGGAGGAGTTATAAAAAGAATTAGCTGTAATAGGAATTAACTTCTTCCCAGGATATGTTACATGTTGCAGTTTTCTGAGAAAACAATAGCTATCTTATTTCCTTTAGTGAGGTCAATATGATTGTTACTCTTATCATCATTTTTGAGTACCAGGCCTCTATCTGTAGACCTTCAGAGGCTCCAAAGTTACGCCAGGACATCGGAAGCTTCTAGAAGTCAGGCACCATCCCATTTTAATAGTTTGGTGTAGCACCTCTTGTGACACTGCTCGCTGCAAGGGGCCTAAGTAACACCTCCAGTTGTTCACTCCCGAGATGTCCATTGGACACTTTTATTCTCTTAAGCCTCTGCTGTCTCACGTCAGTGTTGCTGTAGAAACCTGAATGACAGTTGCTCTTATTGTCTTAAAGGAATTAATTGATTTTCACTTCTCCCTAAATAGAAGAAATATCCCCTCAGTCATTTCGATCATGGTTTTAAGATTTGATGGTTTGGGGTATTGCTTGCCTCCCAGTCTAGGCTGCAGAAGTTGAGGACACCCTCTCGTTAATGGGACCTTGGGCAAGTGACTTCATATCTCAGCCTTCCCAGCTGAGAACGAGGGATTCAGACTAGGTCTCTGGTATCTTGGGTTCTATGAGGTCAGTGTTTGTCATTAAGCAGAGGTGTTAGATACCACCGATTCCTAATAGAAAAAGTCAAAATACATATTTAAAATAGAAAGAATAGTGACAAAGGGAGAACTTTGGAAGAGGAATTGGCATAGGATCCTGAAGTGAATTCTTCATGAATGAAGAGGATATTCTAGATGACATTCTAAATTGAAAGCTGGCTCAACAGGGAATGTGATACCAGATTGCCCATCCCAGATAGCCTCCGCCAGCAAGTACTGACCCCTCCCCCAAGTGCCATGACAGCTCAGAGGTGAGTTTTTGGCATTTCTTCAAGGCAAACCTGGGCTCTTCTCCATCTCCAAGTCCTCTGTCATTTGGGCTGAGGTGCTTTGGCCGAGAGGCTCACCTCCAGCCTCTCCTGGCACTTGTGGGCGCCGGGATGGTGGGTGTCTCCTGGGAGACCTGCTCTACCCGTTCAGTATTTATGACTGGCTTTTTTCTCCCTTTGCATGGGCTGAGTTAGCTTTGCAGCATAGCCTTACAGTCACACCCCCTTCCAACTTAGATCATACCCTTCTGTGGGTCCACAATGGCTTCTTTATGGGCAGGGTTCTGCAGGACTGCCCAGCAATCCTATATACTAATCTGCATTTAAAATCACACTCCCATTTACTCTTCCATTTGACCTTCTCAATAAAGGGACTGTTACTGTTATCCCAATTTGGAAGGTAAATAAACGGAGACTTAGCAAGCTTAACTCACCAGTCTAGTGTTACATAGCTATTTTGCGGTAGAGCCAGAATTAGAACCCAAAATTGTCCAGGGCTCTTCCTTGCCAGATTGCATATGCAGCCTCTTTGTCATGGTTAGATGGAGAAAATGCTTCCCCCTCCCTTCCAGAGTCCCTTATTCCGGAGATTATAAATACAAAGGGCGAACTGGGCTCATTATTTAAGACGCAGATGGCCTCATTGGGCAGCTTGCATGGAGCTCTTAACCTGGAATAAGAATGTGAAGGAGTGAAGATGCGAAGACAGATTCTGCCCTCTAGACAAATTTCCATCCAAACCTTTCCCGAGGAATAGCCCTGCCCTACCGTTACCTCCAGGTGACTCTGAGAAATGTTGACTTCCCCAAGTGCTCCTTTTTAGTCCACATGTTTTAAAGAGCCAACACTAAACACACCTATGAGGCATTACTCACCTGGGAAAATACAAACAGAAGGCTTTCCCTATGTAATACGCTATTTTCTACCATGAGGCTAATTAGCATTAATTTGGAACACCTAGCTAGCTATTATTGACAGACCTGTTGGCTATGCCTCTGCTTGAATTTTCCAGGCACTCAGCCAGATGAGTAACTCCGTGAACCCGTGCAGGTGTAGGTTAAAAATGTCTATACCTGGTGAGCGATGACACCTCATTGCCTCACGGTTTGACATAGGGTAGGAGCTGAACACCCTAAGCTGTGGTCTATTAGACTCGTCCATTTTAAGTCACTTAGAGTCATGGGGCTGTTTCCTCCATCTTTAAAAAATGGCATATAGCCCAAAAGCTATTTTGGGTGCTTGTGATTGGTCATTTATAGGCAATTAAACTCAATATCTGAGTCTGGAACTCTACTGAACTCTGTCCACCATGGGTGACCCTGCTAGTATTTGAACTACTGATGAGCTGATGACATAGCTTCCAGGATCATAGCAACATGCAATCTACCACAGTACAGCAAACTGACAGACTGAGACAGACTAGGAAGAAAGACCTGGTGATCTACTTCTGAAAATTAATGAGTAAAAACCTGTGGATCACAACAGTATAATGGTATAATCCTGGAAGAGGGCACAGAACCAAGCAACGTTTCATTTGTGGTGCATAGGTTGCCATGAGTTAGAGCTGACTTGACGGCAACTAACAACAACAAACTCAATTCATATTTGTGTCTTACGATAACTTTGACACTAAAGGACTTAAGATTTTGTGGGAAAATGCAAGGAAAAAAAACCCAGACAATGAATGAATGAACATTTTTAAATGCCTGCTGTGTGTCAAGTAGCATGCTAGGTGCTTTTATTCATTTTATTTCGTTTTCTCTGGCATCCATTGTGTCAACTGGGCCTTATCCCCTTATAGTTGAGGAAGATGAGACTCAGAGGAGTTTAAGTGATTGGTCCAAGGTCACACAGCTAGTGAGTGGCCAACCTGGAGTTTGAATTCCGTGTCCAAGGTTGTCTCCATTACTCGGCCCAGTAGGTTGCAAGAGGAGTCAGACGGTATAGACAGCTGTGGAGGAAACATGGAAGAGACGGGGCTTGATCCAGGCCTTAAAGAATGACTCACAGTTTTCTAAAGGTGATTTTATAAAGATGATAGGATTCTCTCACAGTGACCTACACACACGTGATGCTGTGTGTGTGTTCTCTTCAGACAAGCCTGGAGAGGCAGGCAGATGAAGAAACTGAAGCTCTGAGACCGAATTAAAGTATCTGCTCAAAGTTAAACAACTCTTGGGCTTCACCAAATCTAAGATGCCATTGATTTTAAGATATTCCATTATTTTATGTACCATAAAGAAAGAAAAGACATCCAAGATGGAGAGCCTAATAGGACACTCTTAGTAAATGAAGAGTGAATCTGCCCTGCAAATAAGGGTGGCAAGAAACCTTACATGCCTTAACTTTGACACAAGGTGGAAGGAGCAGAAAAGTCTCCCCTAAGAATTTAAACCGAAAGCTGGAGTCATGCAGGTTTGTGGTCTGAATTCATGCTGCCGTCATGGTCCAGATAAACCTAAACTGAGAATTAAATGCAAAGTGATTCAGCTTGGTAATCCCTAGGCCAGTGGGAAAAGCAAATCCCAAAGCTGTCTGGACGAGCTTGACTTTAGCCTGGCTGACAGTGATCTTACAGCCCCGTCGATTGTAAGGCACATTCTGATTTCAGAGTGTGTGTCTTATAGTTGATGAGACATAGTAGTAGGACTTGGGCCTCCAAACCTGGATCTCTGAGAAGCCACATGTAGAGTCCTCTTTCCTCCCTCAGGTCCTTTGGGTGGCTTCCTCATTACCCTGTGGGACTCAGAGAAGTGACCCTCACTGCTGTTTTCACTCAAGAGTGTATCATGGGCACCACTGCATCTTGACACAGATACCTGTTGAGCCAGCAAGGCCTGTCCACCCTTCCCAACCACTGCACTAAGCAGAAACGTTCTACTGAACTGTGGGGCACGGTTACGGCTCTGTTTGCTCTAATCCTTTGGTGCTGATAACCTGGGCTGAACCCTTTGACTGAATTTTCCCAGAAGCCCAAGCTGCTTTTTATGGTTGGAACCGCCTGTTGCTTATCCAGCCCTAGCCTCTCCCGCAGCCCTTTGTGCCTGTGGGCACAGCAGGAGGGAGAAGCAGGAGGCACTCTGAAATCTGGGGAAGCAGCAGGTGAGCAGAAGCACAGGATGGGATCTGATACGTGGAGTCTTTGATGTCAGAGTACAGTGCCCTCTGTTTTTCTGTTCCCTCTTACCCCAGCGACAATCTATGTACATATAGAGACCCAGCCACACAGATATGTTGTTTCACCCTGAAAAGCTTGAAACCAAAAGGATGGCTGCATTGCTTTGGAAATTAAGTCACAAACGTCTTATCTAAGTCATGCCTGTCTCTTAAGTTACCACAGTCCTTTCATTTAGGGATTTCAGTTTAATCACATTGCTAACAGATTGGAAAACCAGGCAGGCCAGTAGGAAAACCCCATTTCAAGATTCAGTTTAGAACATGGTTAAACAAGTCGTTTGGAACTCAGCCTCACTGTAGTTTGAGTTGGTGGGAAGAAAGTCACTGCTTATAGCAGGCATCATCTTCCTTATCTTTGTGTAGTGTTTACAACTAAAACCCACACACTTTTCCATGCAATTATAGTATTCAATTATTTTTCTCCCAAATTTTGAGAGGTAGGAAAAGATGATTCCAGTTTATAGACAAGGAAATTAAGACACAGAGTAAGTGCCTGCTGGGGCCATCAGTCAGGGCAGAGTCTCAGGTCTCTGGGCTTCCCCTCCTTGTGGCGTCAGGGTAGTTGGCACTGCTAAATGGATTTGGTCGCTGGAATGGCAGGACCTACTCTAAAGTTGACCGTGCTTCCTCCCTCCAGTCTCTCGAGTACAACATCTTTGAAGGCATGGAGTGCCGTGGCTCCCCGCTGGTGGTCATCAGCCAGGGGAAGATTGTCCTGGAGGATGGCACCCTTCATGTCACTGAAGGTTCTGGGCGCTACATCCCCCGGAAGCCCTTCCCTGACTTTGTTTACAAGCGTATCAAGGCAAGGAGCCGGGTGAGTGACTCTGTTCTTGTGAGGCGTGTTTATCACAGATTATGTTAGATTCCACAAACTTTTATTAAGCATTTTGAGTCAGAATATTAAGTGAGTATGGGGGATACCAGGATGAAGGAAACATGGTTTTTTATTCGGGTCTCAACAGACCAGTGGAGGAGCCAGGTGTGTCCCCAGTGGTTATGTGCTATGAGGAGTGTGCAGTGAGGGCCCAGGGCAGGGGCCGCTGCTGTGGAGTCGTGGGGGAAAGTGTCACAGGGAGGAACAGTTTGAGTTAGGTTTTGAAGATTAAGTAGGGGTTGGACAAGTTGGAGAAGGGGGACGGAATTCTAGGTAGAGAGAATGTGATGAGCATGGAAAATGCAGTGTGTTTAGGGCAGTGAACAATCCATCATAGCATTGGGGCTTGGAGTGTGTGAGGTCGGCAAGGGATAGAGCTGTAAAGGAATTAAAGGGAGGGTGAGATTGAAAGGAAAGTTTGAGACCAGCTCTTGAATATGAGACCAGAGCCTCCTCCCAGACTGTTTGGAGATTCCTACAGGATTTAAAGTTGAAGTGCTTTGGCAAGAAACGTTAATCAGTTTCTATAGGGCTGACCAATTATGCGTAACCCACCTTGAGGGGAGCTTCCGCTTGGAGCTGAGGCACTTGAGGTGGATGTGGCCCCATGCAGACATGGGAAAGCAGAGTCGTCCATCCATAAATCTCGAAGGCTGATCCTGGCCTCTTTTCAGGCAGTTTGCTGTCAGGCAACGGGAAGGCATCCTCTGTCAGTTGGCCTGAGTTGAGGGCTCTTGTTTTTTCCAGCTGGCGGAGCTGAGAGGGGTTCCTCGCGGCCTGTACGATGGACCAGTGTGTGAGGTATCTGTGACACCCAAGACAGTCACTCCAGCCTCCTCCGCTAAGACGTCTCCTGCCAAGCAACAGGCCCCACCTGTCCGGAACCTGCACCAGTCTGGGTTCAGCTTGTCTGGTATGGTTATGGTTTGGTTAGGCACCAGCTCTTCAGGGCCATGCTCGGTGGAGCTGTGGGAGCCTGCAATTACTTTTTTAAAAGGAGCAGAAGCAGAAGTGAATGATATTCCTACTCTAAGTGGGAAATACTATTATCACAAGAGATACATTTTCATAGCAAATGACCAGTTGGAGTTTCAGAGTCTTGACTTCAGTTTTATATCCCATATAATACTATGATGCATATACTATGTGTAATACCTAATAGATTAAGTGGACTTTTTCAATTTATTATATCCCTCATATAAAATGAAGTTGTGGTATTTTAGGACTTCTCTTTTCCCCAACATATGCGGTACACTGGAGTAGTTAAGCTTGTGGAGTCTGGGGTTTAGCAGCTTAAATTCATAGCTCAAATTCTAGCTGTGCTTCAGTTTCCTCATCTGTAGAATGGGGATAATAATAGTAGCTACCTCATTGGGTTGTTGTGAGGGTTAAATGAGTTAATATGCATATAAAGTGTTTAGAGCAGAGCCATTTGATAACTGTTAGCTATTTGCTTGTATAAATTATATGATGTCAAGGAATGGATGAGAGGAAAGAGTCCAGATACTAGAGCTTTTTCTTTACTTTTCCTTCCCGTACTTCATTTTTTTTTTATGACTAGCATTTTCTACTTTTCTAGCTCCCTGAGCCACAGATAAGTATCCAAATTTGTATGGCATGTTAAAAAACTAGTTAATCATATATATATATATATATATATCATCAAATATACCAATTTTTAGAAAGCTACCATATAGAGATTACCAATTTTCAAGAAATTAAAAATGATTTAATCTTAGTTTTATCATAAAGTAAAGTGATTGTAATAGTATCTGCGCTATATTATTTGTCCATGCTGTTCAAATATAAGGGACCATCCATATTTCTACGTTTTATTGTACAGTTGATATGTAGGTTTAAGGGACTAGAATGCCAGTGTGAAGGTTATCTCTACAGAAAAGCCTCACCCAGTCAGACTAATGAGCGTGGGGACAGGATGTAATCTGAATCAGTCAAAAGCCTGAGATGTAGTGTTTTATATAGTTTTACTTTGTCAAATAATAGATCAACTAGCTTCTGCAAGGATTGCTTTATATAGTATGTGATTCTCTGGGTACCTTAAGTTCCTCTCATTTTTGTAGTTTAGATTTTCAGTAAGGTTTTGAGAGAAGGACAAAGAATGTGGGTGGCACTTTCTCTACCTAGATGTGTTACTTCAGTTTAAAGTAGGACCACCTGTAACTCTTTGGTTTTGACCTTTACGCCTTTTCTCTACTTCTCTCTCCAGGCGCTCAGATTGATGACAACATTCCTCGTCGCACCACCCAGCGCATTGTGGCGCCCCCTGGTGGCCGTGCCAACATCACCAGCCTGGGCTAGAGGTCCTGGGCCTGCCGCAGTCCACTTGGGGATGGGGGATGGGACACCTGAGGACATTCTGAGACTTTCTTCCTTTCTTTTTTTTCCCCTTTAAGAGCCTGTGATAGTTACTGTGGGGCAGCCAGTTCATGGGGCTCCTTCTTGGGCCCCACACTTAGTCCCTTACCCGGGTCACTGATTGATATTGTTCATCTACTTCCCTACACATCTATGAATATCACACCCAAATATATCCACCAATCCCAACAATGGAACTGCATCCAACACTCAGACATGCGAAACAAAGCAAATCACAAAGAGTGTGTTTTTCATCTCTATCCTCTGTTGTACTTAGCATCTTCCTTTTAATGGAGGAAGATAAAGTGAATTTCCCAGGAGCTGCCTTTTTCTTTTTAAATTTTTAAATAATTTTGTTTTCGTGGGGCTGGTAGGGGTGGGGGTTGGGAGGAGAGCTTTTGTTTTCGTTTTTAACACTAAATTGGAAGGTCTAATTCAACATTAATTCAAGGGGTTTGAACTGGACATCCTAATGATGCAATTACATAACCATTGAGCTGATTCAGGGTGGTTGGCAACCTCATCATGTCCCTCCTGAGTGGCTCCAAAATGTCCACATCTCCATTCTGTAGTCTTCTGGGTCAACTGTTGAGAAAAGGCATGTTTTCTTTGTGGCCTAAATTTTGCTGCAGATTGAATCTTTTGAGGATTCTCTTCTCCTCTTTTCATCTCTTTTGTGCTCTCTTTTGCTTTTCCATTTATGAATATTTTCAAATGTCTGTCTCTTGAATATTTTCACGTTTGTTTCTTCTAGCCCTTGTCTCTGAGACGGTTTTTGTCTCCTTCCCTCATTGTCTTTTCACATTGCCAGGTCTGTCATTTTACTGTTGTCATCTGAACCTGCCCAGAGGACTTTGAGCTTTGCCATTTCAGCCGTAGTAATATGCTGTCCTAGTCCATGTAAGACTGGTGCTACCCACCCACCATCGTGAGGGTATGCATTTGAGTTTGAGTTACTTCCTAGGTCCACTGACAGGCCGAGTTAACTCACCCATACTATGACATGTGGGCCCAGAGTAGAACCGCAAACAGTGCTGAGATGTTGAAGAAATCTGAGGCTGTACAATGTGAAAGCATTTCCTCTGTGCAGTGCTAACCAGGTAAAGAGACGATCAAACCTGTAAATTAAGCCTCATAACCCAAGTGAGTGAACCAACTTGAAGCCAACTATCTGCTCAGAAGGGTTGAGTGGTTGAATTAGTAGGAATCTGCCCCCGAGGGCCTTCTCTTTCCCCATTGAGTGTCTTTTGGAATTCTAGAACACACTGGGGCTTTTGGAGAAAAAACGCACACTTCTGGGGAAAAACATGTTTTTCTCGTCCAATTATTTTGAAAGAAATAATGCAGTATAGAGAGGGCTTATCAACTCAGAAAATCTTTGGGAAATTTGACTTAAAGTCCATTTTATATTGCAAGAGGAAAAATCTGTGTTATGAATGACATGCAACCCCAGAGCTTTTGTGGGGAGAACAACTTACCAGTAAAACGTGTGGCCACCTTTAGACCATAGGTGATTTCATGTCTACATCCTCTGCTTGTCTGAGTGACAGCTTCCCACTAGCTGATTCTTCCAGGTGCCATCCCTGTCTCTGCTGATAGTGTTGCATTTCTTTTAAATGTGTTTACAGGTTCTCTTAAGAAATACTGTATTTGCGGGCTTTTATAAAACCAAATCTGCTTTTGTGAAGTATAACATCAAGTAGGTCATCACATCATTACACTTGTCTGTCCACATGTTTTGCCTTTGGGGTTATGGTTGGGGTTTTTTTTGTTGTTGTTGTTTATTTTGTTATTTTAAAAGTAAATTGCACTTTTAAAAATAATTGGTTAACTTAATATATTTTGCTTTTTTTCTCACCTGCACTTAGAGGAAATTTGAACAAGTTGGAAAAATTTTTTTGTTTCAATTCTAAGAAACATTTGCAGCTCTTTAGTATTCACTTGAGTCTTCCTGTTTTTCCTGTACCAGGTCATGGTGATTTTGATTATTTTGATTGTTTTCTTAAAACAATTTGAAACCTGAAGATTTCCGCAGGCTGTGTAAGCATGTTTACCTGTTGGCTTGCTTTGTGTGTCTGTTATATGAATGTCATATATAAATGCTAAAATAAATTGACAGTGTCTCAGAACTGATTAACTGCAGTGACTTGATGCTCTAAAACAGTGTAGGATTTAATAATAGATGGTTTTTAACCCTTGGAATTGTGATTGTGACTCATGAGTGGAGAAACTTTCAGTGCTAAAACTGATGATGTGTGTAGCCAGAAGAGTACTTTTTTGTAACCACTGTCTTAAATGGCAAAATAATTATGGTAAAAAACCAGTCTCGTGTTTATTATTCCTTAAGAACTCTGTGTTATATTACCATGGAACGCCTAATAAAACAAAATGTGGTTGTTTCAGGGATGTGTCTGTGTTGAGATGTCCAGAGGAGGGAGCAGTTGCTTGGCCTGGGCCCCCAACAAAAGGGTCTTCTCTCCTGATGCATCCACGGGAGCCTTTGGCCTCGTTTTGGTGACGGTATCAATTTAAGAATTTTCAGTCCATGTCAAAGGTTGTAATGTCCAGGCCACAGGGTGAGGTTTAATTCTGATCCAGCAGGTGGCAGAGCTGAATGTTACAAATCCATGGAGTTCATCACAGAGAAGCCACAAGAGCCAAGTTTGATTCTGGGAATTGAGTGGAATCACACAGGCTAGTTAGGTGACTCTCCTGAGTTCTCTGCTTCCTTACATCATGTTCCCCCCGCCCCCCCAAATCCCTAAGCTACATGAATGCATGAAAGAGAGGAGACTGAAATGTATTGAGCTCATACCCATTGCTTAGTCAGGGAGCTTGCAGGAAACCAGGACTTAAAGCATATGGCCTTCTGCCTTTAACTAAGGGTCAAGAATACATATTAGGGGTAAGGGCCAAGCCAAGCCCAGCAGTCACCCTGTTAACTGACACAGTTAGCATTACTGGTTCTGAAAACAGTGAATGAAGAGGTGTGTGCTCTGTGCTCACCCGACCACCAAATGTTGATGAAGTCTTTTTCTTTTCTCCTCCTCTCCTTCCTTCCCCCTCTCCTTTGTTTTAATTTATTTAAATCTTTCCTTTCTTTTATTGGCAAATACAATTTTAAAATTACTTGTCACAATACAAGTGGATTTCAAATCCTAAGGAATATGTACAATTCAGTGATGTTTATCATGTTGTGGAACCGTCACCACTATTCATTTCCAGAATTTTCCTTCACCCTGAACAGAAGCTCAGTGCCTTTAAGCAATGGAAATGGCAAACGTTTTGTAATACATATAGTTAGGTGCTGCCGAGTTGTTTCCACTCATAGTGATCTCGGGACAGAGTAGAACTTCCCCATAGGGTTTTCTAGGCTGTAATCTTTATGGGAGCAGGTCACCAGCTGTTTCTCCCATGGAGCAGCTGGGTGGGTTCGAACTGCCGACCTTTCAGTTAGCAGCCAAGAGCTTAACCATTGCGCTACCAGGGCTCCATATAAAAACCGATAGCCATCCAGTCAGTTACAACTCATAGCAACCCTATAGGATAGAGCAGAACTGCCCCATGGGGTTTCCAAGGCTGTAATCTTAACCGAAGCAAACTGCCACATCTTTCTCCCAAAGAGTGCCTGGTAGGTTTGAACTGACAACCTTTCGGTTAGCAGCGAAGCACCTAAACCACTGCGCCACCGTATAATGGACAGTTTTACATCAAGTACTTCAAAATAACGATGAAACTCGTGCTTGAATGCATGCAGGCTTAGCCCATGTGCATGGGTTAAAACGTGTATGCAGAGAATTCTCTCTCCTCCCTTTTTGTTTTCTGTCCAGCCCTGTCCAAACAGGATATGAAGTGACTTACAAAGATATATACAATATACCAAGATTTTATAAACAAAGAATGTTTGGGCGAGGGGAAAATAAGAGGAGGAAAAATAAGGCCGGAGTGAGGGCTGTACAAAATGCCTGCCACAAAGCTGCAGACTTGTTAGGGTGCTCTTAGTGTTCTAGGAGCAAACACAGAATAGGAAAACATGACCAGTCACATGTATAGTAACCAGAAGACTAAAAAACAAATTAGTCCTTAAGAAGAAATATAGCAAATTCTGGGCCTCAGCCCTGAGGGAGAGTTCTCCCATGGGTCCTCCCAGCAAGTACAGTGTTGACTGTTGTCAGGCCGGCTCCCACCCTGCCTTTCACTGTGTGCCCACAGCAGTGCATCATGACTCAGCACCTTCATCTGTCCAGGTGAAGAGGGCTAAAAAGGCTCACCCTAACGTTTATGGGACATGCGACAACAGTAAAATGGAGACCCCAGACCCACAGCCCATCCTTTTCCTAGTGCCACCCTGGCTACTTCCCACACCCAAATGAGCCTCATGCACGGACCTGGGACACCCAGCCCACATGTCCAAGTTCTGCCATTCCCTAGCAAACAACACCCCAAAGGGTTCCCACACCAGCTGTGAGGTTGCCCCTGAGAAGGGTACACCCAGGGAAGAGACCACGTAGGCCCTGGGGATAACCTTGGACCCATTTGAGCAGGGAATTGCAGGGACCCAGGTACTAAAGCTGGCCTAGAAGGGGAGGCACAGGCTCCAGCTGGGCACATTTCATTGCCGTTACAAGCTCCTTCCTCCAAGAGAAAGGCGTGGGTAGGAGAGGGCCAGTGCAGGCACTAAAGCACGGACTAGGGCAGGGACCCTGGTTCCAGGACCCATGACCGGCACATGAGTAGACATGGGGCCTGATCTATAACTCTTCAGTGGTTTGATGTAATCTAAAGTCAGATTTTAGAGCATTTAGAAAAAGTAAGTGGAATACAAATCCTTCCAGAAGTTTTTTTTTTAATCTGGTTTTTCTTGTTTTTGTTCTGTAGTGAATTGAAAGCCATAGCCTGTGACAAGTATCTATAGCACACATAATCTATAAGAAAAGGCAGATTCATTCTTTTTATGGGTTAACCATTGCACTGCCAGGGCTCCACATTTATCCCCATTAACCGACGTGGGAATAAATCCTGATGTCTGCTGATTGGGTGTGTCATGCAGAAAGCTACTTAACCTTTATTGGTCTTAATTATGCTTTCTTCAAGATAAAGATGGTATTATCAACCCAATCTAACTCCAAGGTTAGGGTCACTTTGCAAAGTCATGCCATAACCAGGTATGGGGCAGAGTAGAGAGGATTGCGAAGAAACAGTAGGAAGCTGTTGGAAACAAAGTGTCCTAAGCGTCTCTCCCTCCAAAATAGAAACAGATTTAGAAGAGGAACACATGACTGAAAGTTCTTTGGTTGACTACAAAGAATAGTAGAACTATGAGACATCAGAGATAGTGCTGATTGTTTAACAAAATAACCTGTTGGTTAAAGTCATGATGAAATGGCCAATGTTTATTATTATGGGCCAGGCACTGTTCTAAGGACTTTACTCACATTAACTCAGTTAATCTCACAGCAACCCATGGAGAAAATACAGTCTTTTTTGCCATGGTACAGACCGAGGCACAGAAGTAAATTGCTTAGAATCTGGCTTTGAACCCCTGTGGCAGGGAGCCCTGGTTGCACGGTTGTTAATGCGCTCGATTCGACTGCTGGTTAGCGGTTCAAACCTACCAGTGGCTCTGAGGGAGAAAGATGTGGCAGTCTGCTTCTGTAGAGATTTACAGCCTTTGATTTACAGTCACTATGAGTTGGAATTGACTTACGGCAGTGGGTTTGGTTTGGGTTTGAAACCCTGCAGTCTGGTGCCAGAGACCATGTTTTAATCACTATTGTCCTGCTATCTCTTATCAGAAAACTCCTGCCTAGAAGAGTGTGGGTAAAGAGAGGTGGAGAGTGCCTTAGAACAAGACTGTGCAGGTAGTTAGGCAAGCACGAAGAGGAAAAACAAGGGCAAATGAGAGCTTTACAGGAGAAACAACAACATCTCAAGTTTGGGGATGTACGGGCTCTAGGTAAGAAGAAATGAGAAAGCCTATAAGATACCCAAAAATAGCTAGGAGAAAAATGGTCTAAAAGAGGAGGGCACAAGGTGTAAAGGAAAATAATAATTTGAGTACATTAAATTTTATATACAAGGTTTGGGGAAATTGTGTTGATTTGGTGAAAAATTACAAATGTGTATATACACACACAAATGTGTATATATAGTTAATTTTTGTAAAGATCTTGAAAGATTAAATAATCTCTAAAAATACTTTGAAAAGGAACAAAGGGATCTAGACATGTAAATGCATTATCATTTTATTAAGATTTTAAAATTTTATTATTTATTTTTGTATTATTATACTGGTATACATACAGCAACCATCATGTGTCTGTCAGTTTGTCATACTGTGGTGGCTTGCTGCTGTGATACTAGAAGCTTTGCCACTGGTATTTCAAATATCAGCAGGGTCACTCTTGGTGGACAGGTTTCAGTGAAGCTTCCAGACTAAGATAGACTAGGAAGAGGACCTGGCAGTATACTTCTGAAAAAATTGGCCACTAAAAAGCTTATGAATAGCAACAGAACATTGTCTGATATAATGTCAGAAGATGAGCCCCTCAGGTTGGAAGGCACTCAAAATATGACAGGACAAGAGCTACAGTCATATGGTCTACTATGCTGGGAATGACAAATAGAAGAGGAATGGTGTTGCGTTCATTGTCAAAAAGAACATTTCAAGATCTATCCTGTCAGTGATAGTGATAGGATAATCCCCATATGCCTACAAGGGAGATCAGTTAATAACGACTATAACCCAAATGTACACACCAACCACTAATGCCAAAGATGAAAAAATTGAAGATTTTTACCAACTTCTGCAGTCTGAAATTGATCAAACATGCAATCAATATGCATTGATAATTACTGGCAATTGGAATACAAAAGTTGGAAACAAGAAGGATTGGTAGTTGGAAAATACGGCCTTGGAGATTGCATGATAGAATTTTGCAAGACCAAAGACTTCTTCATTGCAAATACCTCGACACCAACATAAACGGCAACTGTACACATGTACCTCACCAGATGAAATACACAGGAATCAAATTGACTACATCTGTCAAAAGAGATGATGGAAAAACTCACTATCATCAGTCAGAACAAGGCCAGGGGCTAACAGTGGAACAGACCATCAATCGCTCATATGCAAGTTCAAGTTGAAAAAGAAGAAAATTAGAACAAGTCCACAAGAGCCAAAGTACTACCTTGAGTATATCCCACCTGAATTTAGAGACCATCTCAAGAATAGATTTGCCACACTGAACAGTAATGACCGAAGACTAGACGAGTTGTGGAATGACATCAAGAACATCATACATGAAGAAAGAAAGAGGTCATTAAAAAGACAAGAAAGAAACAGAAGACCAAAATGGATGTCGGAAGAGACTCTGAAAGTTTCTCGTGAACATAGAGTAGCTAAAGCGAAAGGAAGAAATGATGAA